AAATGCAGAGTCACATGTGTGCTCGATTAGGTCACGAGCTCAGATTTCCGCGCGTGCGGACGTCAGCCTCTAGCATAGCGTCGGAAGTCAGGTCTGTATGTATTATCTTATACTTTTGTACGTAAAAACCCCTAAAAAACGCTTATTTTCATCGAAAAACACAGGCCTGCATTCCGACGCACTCTCTCTATATATATATATAGATATAGATAGGGATTATATGAGGAGTATATTCCCATATTCCCTGCTCAGAACCAGAACCAGGAAGTCAAAGCCTACCATCCCCTCAGCCAGCGGCCACGTGGTCCAGTTGGCCTGTGCCGGTCCTAGGCACCAACAGGGTTTGAATTTTTGGGCTGAATTTTAAACCTCAATAGTCTCTCTTTGGTAGAATATGGAACTGACCAAGATCAGAATAAGATCATCATACAACCCATATTCTATCAAAGGGGGACTGTATATGGAGGGGATATCTGGTGCATCTCATTACCAGAAGCCAACGCTTTCCGTCAAATGCTGGGAGAGCCGCCTGTCCAGCGCCTGACAGGCACAGGACGCCAGCCGTGAACTGAGTAGCGTTTTTGGGTGGTTGAACCTAGTAAAATCATATTCTTCATACAAAATACTATACCCAAACGGAGGACACAATCTTACAGAATCTTTTTCTATGCTGGATACCAAGCCATCCCATGCTGCCTTTATCTCTTCAGGATCGATGCGGCCGTTGTGATCCTTGTCAAGGAAGGCCTCTCATCCGACAAGGAAATGTTTCCAGAGTCTTCGCGAATGCTTAGAAGAAGGGCTAAGCAAGTAAGTGCATCAAGTGGCCCAAATCCTCACCCAGACCTTCTCTGCCCAATAGTGCAGCAGCAAGGAATGCCTCAACAGTTCAAGAGAACAGGAGCAAATGCGCACAGAGCTAGAGTTCAGATTACATCATGACCACTTCAGGTGACCCTTTTTTGACGACACCAGTAGGAAAATTGCTTCGATCTCGGCTTCTTCTTGTTCACATGGCGGATGGTGAGATGGGCTTCTTATGCTCAGGACGTAAGCTGTCGTGGTGCGCCTCAAACTCAGGAATCTGGTGAAGCAGAAAGTCCATGCACTCAACCACCGAAATGCTAAAGTGCCATGAACCCTAAACCCCCCAACCCTGAGCCTTTAGTCCCTTCTAGGGCATATTCGTGCCAGGCGGCACAGGGAGGGCAGACTCTGGGTGTGGTTTGGCACTGGGCTTCTCTTCCCAGTAGGCCTTTACCTGACAGCAGCAAGCTGGCATGCATCAGGGCGGCTTCCGACCCAGTCTATTCTTGCCATACCCTTCTACTGTACCTTCCTGTGGTTTGTGTCTCTGGGTTTAAGGGTTCGGGATGAAGTTCGACATGGATAGACGTTGTGATGCACCGAGGACAAGCCTCATAAATACGGATCACAAAGGCAAGACTTTGTTCAGGCAGTATGAGCTGTCCTACATAGATCCCCGAAGTCCATACTGTTGTCAAGCATGCTAAGATGAGGAGTCTGCCTAACTTTCCATTGGGAAACAAAGGGGAACCTCCAGGGGAACCCATGCTACAATGGCAACCTAAACATGGTATGTCGTAATTCCTTTTGCCCATGTGGTAGTTTCCCCAAAATAAGCCATTCAACACAATAGAACGCTCATTAAGTCTCATTATAAATTCTCCCTGAGAAAGGCTCCTAATTGTAGGCAACCCAAATGTAGGTCATTTACCCTCCGCCTTGGGTAGGAGCTGCAGGCCGAAGCGCCTGCAAAGCATTCGGGAGAAGGGCTCTTCATCCGTCTGGGGGTTGTGTGTCGCTTCGTGGATACAATGAGCTGCGAAAGGACGATCAAATTGTGCAAGAAATTCTATGGATTAACTGCTACTGCTTCTCTGTTCCAGCATGTAACAGGCTCTTGGCATCTAGGCAACGCCGGATAGATAACGTAGCTCCCGCACATGGGGCCAACGTGCGACAGGAGGACAAGCCCAAGGTTAGCACAGGGTTGCAACCCCCTTGAGTTCGTGTGGGAGAAGAAGAGCTCTCTATGCACCCCCTGAGATGCGATGGACCGCTTTTGACTAAACATGAGATGGGGTTGCAAAAAAACCTGATGGGATCCACGAACCCGAATGCAGACACTGACACGTACACCGCAAGGATGATAACACCCCACGCGCGAAACCAATCAAGATACTTAGGTCCGGGGTCATCCTCTCTCCTCCTCTCTCTTCTCACCTCTCTCCTCTCCTATCTTTTCTCTCCTCTCTCCTCTCTGCTCTCTCCTCTCTCTTCTTTCCTCTCTCCTCTCCTCTCTCTTCTCTCTTCTCCTCTCTCTCTTCTCTCTTCTATCCTCTCTCCTCTTCTCTCTCTCGCCCCTCCCCTTCTCTCTCTTCTCTCCTCTCTCTTCTCTCTCCTCTCTCTTCTCTCTCCTCTCATCTCTCCTCTTTTCTGCGTTTCGCGACCACGTCCAAAAGTGACGACAATTCTGCATTTCGCGACCACAATCCCCCCGATCCCTGTGACTATTGACACGTTTGAGACTCGAAGACCAAACGCAAGTCCAACAGTGAGGACAATTCTGCGTTTGGCGCCCCCGACCCCACCGATCCCTGAGATTGTTGACACTTTTGAGACGCGAGGACCAAACGCGAGTCCAACAGTGAGGACAATTCTGTGTTTGGCGACCCCGACCCCCCCGATGCTTGAGATTGTTGACACTTTTGAGACGCGAGGACCAAACGCGAGTCCAAAAGTGAGGACAATTCTGCGTTTGGCGACCCTGACCCCCCCAATACCTGAGATTGTTGACACTTCTGAGACGCGAGGACCAAATGCGAGTCCAAAAGTGACGACATTTCGCGACCACGACCCCCCGATCCCTGAGAATTGTTGATACTTTCAAGACACGAAGACCAAACGCGATCCAAAAGTGAGGACAACTCTGCGTTTGGCGACCCCGATCCCTGAGATTGTTGACACTTTTGAAAGGCGAACACGCAACGCGAGTCCAAAAGCGATGACGGTTCTGCGTTTCGCGACTATTTTCGGTTGCGGACACACGGCGAACACTTTGCACGGATTTCGCGTCAACTCCCAGCCCCCAGAGCCCCAACCTCAAAACGAGAACCCTTCTGCTGCGCATTCGGGAACAGGAGGACTCCGGGGTGTTGAGACACTCGTCTGACTTAAAGACCTCGGGCCAAGAAACTGGTGTCTGCCGCTAGCTGGTGGGAACCCTTTTCTACAAGGGCTAACTTCTCCGCAAGCACTCTACTGTAGTTACAAGCCCAGAAATATAGACGACATATGGTCCTTCATATTACATCGTCCCATGTCTTCTGAGAAAAGTCCCCCACCCTCACGCCTAAACCCTCAACCCTATAGCACCCTCAACCGTCCTAAACCCAACTGAACATCCAATTCCTGTAGCTTCACATGGCCTGGAGGTGCCCACTCGATACATGGCAGCAGGGTCCAAGGCTTTGCCTGCCAGCTTTGAGGACCCCCAAGTGGGGAGATTTCTCAAGGCAGGCCTCCAGTTAAAATGGGGACCCTTATGTTGGTGCTTAGATGATGGAAGGTGATGAGATGGGCAGTCATCTTTTTTTGTTCACACATGCCCCGTTGCAATGCTGCCAACGCAGAGTTCGAATGTCAAACACATCAACCAACCAGGCCGCATGATGTGCGTTTTCCTAACGAAGCTTTCCAAGAATCTTTTACGCGAGGCACGTTGTTGTTGGCATTCTTAGGCTCACAGAATTGCGCGCTGCGACTTTTTGTCAGCCTTCCAGCGATGGCTTGCCAGCGCGTCTTGTGGATAAGTTTCCTTCAATTAGCGGGTTCGCTCTCAAGGGTATCTCGAGGTTAGATGGCCGTCGTCCACGGCCGGGCATCCGTCTCATCAAGACGTGCTCAGAAGCTCAGGGCTTCAGTCCATGAAAGTGTAAGGGTTTTGCAATGTTTCCGCGACGCTGTACTGTACGAGTAGCGGTTTTTGCACCTTGACCCCATATCAGCGCCTCGCACGATCAGCAAAACAAATCTTCACAGCACTCGCGGCCAGCAAAGATGTCCTGCTTCACGTGGTCATTGAAGGTCCGGACTGCAAAAGTTAAAGCTTTCAGCGTGAGACCTCGGTTCTGCGAAGCAACTGTCCCGACAGCAACAACTTGTTGGCATCGACTTCAGCGCGGGACCCGACATTGTTGGCTACCAGTTTGTGCGGTCTTTGGAGCTTCTTTGAGCAAGAAAAGCTGCCACACAACAACAGAAGATGGGGTCTCCAGACAGCGCAAGCTACCCCTTGGCAGCTCATCCATCCGAACTCCGAACCCCGGCTTGCATCGGTACTTGTACACATGTGAGCTGACTACGGCTCATGTGGTATTCAATGTGGGACCTGGGAAGTATGAGAATTCTCTTCTCAAGCTCACTGAAAATGGAGACCTTAGCGAGTATTCACTTAGGGTTTAGGGTGTATAGGGCCTGGCAAGGATGAGGGTTCTCTTCAGAAACCTCCCTAAACCCTAAACCCTAATCCCTTGCCTCCGAAGCCCCCCAGGCCCGAATGCCTGCGATCTTCTGCACCTGGCCATCGGCATCAACCTGCCCGTGGAGCGCAAGAATTAGATGCAACTCTGAGAAATGCGGAAATTTCTCGAAATCATGGTCCGCGCTAGAGACCTTCAAGAAAGTAGGGTACATAGGAGTATATATCCCTATTCTGGTGACTCTAAAATCTTACTTAAAACTATTTCGAAACTGCCCCAACAAACCAACAACGGCAAAGGATGGGCCTCCAGCTGGTCGTCGTGCTGCATCCAGGCGCCGCTGATGTTTTGCCACGTGTCCCGCAGCCCAAACTGAAGCAGCTCACCAGGAACCGGCGCTACAACGATCTCCACGGACTCGTCCATCTCTGACATCAGGTCCTCAGATCCCCTAAGCCCTGCCTGTAACCCCAATGACTACACTGACCTACTACGCACCCAAGCTTTATGGGCTTAGGGTTTTGGGTTTAGGTTGCCCTAAACTTTGGACTCAGGTTGGCAGGTATGAGGACAGAGGTGGTCTCACAGTTTTTCCACCGTTGACGGAGAAGGAATGGACCCAGAATAGTATTGAAAACGAATGTGGCAATACTTAGCAGCTCCCTCTTCCGTTTATAACAGGCTGAAAACAATACACAGAAGCTACTAGCTTCATATGAGCTATACAGTTTAAAATCCTAGTGTCCCCCTTAGTAACCCCTAGACTACTCCCCATCATCGGCTATATAACCCCCTTTAAGGATTTTTAGACTATAGCTTCATACTGAGTTGAGCATCTTCCAGAGACATGTGCTCCGTCTCTTTGTAGGCCCGCTCGCCCCGGAAGTTCCCACCATTGATGAGAACGCAATCACAGTGGGGACTTCCCTGTCCCAATGCAGGGGTTATATTGGGGTTTATATAGGGGATAATGGAAAAGAACATGGAAACTACGATAATGGGGTTATATAGGGTGTAGGGTTGGGGTTATACAGGGTTAATTGAAAAGAACATGGAAACTGCTATAGTATAAATAGGGACTGGCTGACTTTGGGATCCCTCTTCGCTCCATCCAGGAAATCCTTGGCAGAACCGAAGATAGCTCCAAACTGGCATCCCATGCCCGGCCTCCACACAGTCGAGATTCAGGGCATTCCGAATCCTGTTGCATGTTCACCAGAATTTACCAGCCTGTACTGTGGCACATGCAACCTTACGAGTGGTCAGCAGGGTATAATGGAATATGGTCCCTATATAACCCCATTCCCTTCTTCCCTACTAACCACCAGCAAGCACAGTAAGTGCTGGACTCTGTGCAGAGGAAGCGTGCGCTTGTGGTGCAACATCCACGTGAGTTGACAGAACTCAGAGGTCGAAAGGTTGATGGCACCTGCAGCCCCAACAACCTACGGGGGGGCAGCAGGGAGTAAGGGAATGTACTATGCAGGGATTATACAGGATTATATGGGGATGATACAGCAAGTAAAGGATTACACTATAGGGATAATACAAGAATCATGTAGGAATTATATAGGCTATATATAGGGATTATGTTCCCTTCCTCCCTCTTACCAGCAGGAAGACCAGGCGTCTGCTGGTAGGCAACATGCCTTGACGATCTCTGTGTAGCGCAAATGATCCAGCCTCCGAGGTGTCCAGCTCGCAGGAATAAACAAACATACTATACTACTATACAGGGGGTATACAGGGATTATTTGACAATAAAAGGAGTATCATATAAGGACTATATGGCATAGAAGGATATACTATACAGGGGGTATACAGGGATTATATTATATAGTAATAAAAGGATTACATAGGGATCATATAGGTAGAGTGTCCACATGTTTGCCACTGAGCTGCGTGGAGTAGACCTCCCGAACCGATGCGGCCTGCGGCAAACTGCGTGAAGCGGAAAGCAGCCACTCTCCCCATGCTCCCCCGCTTCAGGTTTTGCTTTAAGACTATAAGCCCTAAATCCTTAACACTAAACCCTCAATCCCCAATCCCAAATCCTAAACCTTTAACCCTACATCCTGAATCCTAAACCCTAAATCCGAAATGTCAAATTCTAAGCCCCAAATCCTAAATCCTAAAACACCCTAAATCCTAAATCCCAAATCCTAAACCCTACATGTCACCAGGGCACCAACGTCGCGTCAGGTGCAAAGGAAGAGACCTGGGTTCTTGTTGAAATACAATTAATTAACAAAGATCTGTTTTATATATTGATATTGGGCCCAGGGACCCATAAAAATGTAAAATTTTGTTCTACAAGAGCCCAGTATATAGCCCCTAAGCCCTAAACCCTAAACCCTAATCCCTAAACCCTACACCCTAATTTTGTTCTACACGAGCCCAGAGACGTTCAGAAGCTCCGCAGTGATCCGCGGAGGGCTCCCAGGGCGCTCCCAGACCAGATCCTGGGTTGCTGTTAAGGAACTTAAATTAAGTCACTATATTGGGGAAACCCATAATGGGATTTAGGGTTTAGGGTGCTATATTGGGGATACCCTATTATTTACTACATATACCCATTATGGTAACTTAATTTAAGTTCCTTAACGGCAACCCAGGATCCAGCTGTACGGCGCAATGCGCATCGGAGCCAGGCTTCAGGAGCCTCTTTAGGCTTTAGGGTTTGGGGTTTTGGGTTCAGGATTTAGGGTTTAGGATTGAGGGTTTAGGATTGAGGGTTTAGGATTTAGGATTGAGGGTTTAGGATTGAAGGTTTTTGGATTTGGGGGCTTCAGGTTCCTCCAGGTTTTCCGGGTTGCTGTTGAGGAACTTCAAGTGAGCCACGATCATAAGGAAACCTTCTTATTTGCTACAATATAACCGTACCATGGTAACTTGACTTCTTTTTTTGTGGAAAAACAGCGGACTTTCATACGAGCCTCCGGGTTTAGGGACAGTTCAGCGCGGCAACCGCACACATGCCAGTGTCAAGTGCTGTCCGCTGAAAGCAGTTTGGACATACGAGTTGTAGGTAGCCGGAATCTGCGTGTACACTTACTAGGAAAGGGTATGCGTATGAGCAACTTTGGACTTGCTTTCAAGCCGAGACCGGGGACCTTGTACCACTGATGACGCGGTCCACAACATGGTGATCATGCCCAGATAGGATCACCTTAGCAGGGGACACCCAAAATATGGGTGGTTGTCAAAATTATGGTCCCTTTTTGGGTACCCTAAATATTGGGTGCCGTATTATAATAGGGATCCAAAAAGGGGCTGACAACCACCCACAATATCCCTTCAAGACAGTCCCTACGTTCAGCTGCCCACTCCCCCTTTTAAGCACCAGTAAGTCACTGGGAAGTCAAAGTTGTGGCAGGTGATTTCGTCTTGACACTCGTACAAGTGGCACCTTAGCTGCAGAGATGGCCTCCACCAAGAAATATCAAAAACCCACTCAGGGGTTTCCCAAGATTAGGGGTACCTGTTTAGGGGTCCCAATGCTTAGGATTAAAGTATTTTGGGGTCTTGATTGAGTTCCCCTTATTTTGGGAAACTACCACTTAGGAGTGGCACAATGGAAGGACAAGATCGCAGTTCTGATCCTTCTCCAGCTTCTCCTTGTAGTAAGCCAGCCTTTCAGTAGCTCAGCTTTCACAACCTTTCTTGGAGAAGTTCGGCACTATGGCCGGTTTGATCCAGGCCGCGTCTTCCAGGGATCTTCGATGGTGGCACCGCCAAAGGCGCTTGGCTTGTAGAGGGCGGCCTTTGATCTGCACTTCTATGGGGGGTTTTGAGGTGCAGCATGAGACAAGCAGACTGGAATCCAGGATCCCTGTAAGCACCTAACATGAGACATAATTGCCGTATACCTACTAATTAAGGTGCCTAGAAATTGTCGGTAGTTGGGGTTACAGGTTGTCCTCCACCCATACACACTGAGATCCAAACTTCATCGCTGAGCACGCCCACCAGCCCAACCCGGCGTGTATGGCCACCTGGGGTCACTCAAAGAAGCTCCCTCTCCAAAGGTCCACAGCTATATCATATTGCCTTATTACTTCTACTATTACAATAGTTTTGAGAGCCCCTCTCTGTTGCAATAAATTTGAGAGACCCCTCACCTCTATCAATCTGGATGACTTCCACATCCTGCTGGCAATGGCACTTGTCGAAGGACCTGTGGCAAGAGACAACACTGAAGCCAAGCGGGCTGCTTTTTCAAAGTGCTGTCCAGAGGCTCGTGAGATTGCATGTTGCTGTTGATCCAGACCTTACTTACAGGGGGTTAGGGAATACGCGAATAAAATCCCTAAAATACAATCCCTACAAAATATATTCTCGTATTCCCTATTCCCTACGAACCCCCAGTAGATTTAGGCAACTTTTGGACGACCGCCTGAGATCTTGCCTCCAGCTGCTATCGAGCAACCCCCTGGTACTCCTCCACCCGGCACATGACATCTTCGTGCGAGAGGTCTGCCTCGTGGTTCCCCCAGGTCACGTACCTGAATCATGAGAGGCGTAGCTACATCATCCTTGCATGACATACCGGTTGCTAGCTACAGAACCCTAAGCCCTAAATCCAAAACCCTAAATAGTAGTGTCCATTTTCTTTTCCATTATCCCTATATAACCCAATATACTATAGCTCACATTCGCTGCGGGCGCACTGGATGGGAACCTCGTTCAGCATTCGCACCATGCCAGCACCGCGATCGATGCTGGAGAGCAGGTATGGAGCCAGGAAGTCCTTGGCAAGTCACAGAGACCCACAGCCCAGGCGGCTGAGGCCCGCGTTTCTTGCCGTGCCCAGGGTCGGCAATGTAGGCATAATAGTACTATTCTTACATGACTAATGATACTACTCCTAAAATTAATAAGAAGAAGAGTAATGGATAATTACAGGATACAAACAAAGGCAGATTGCATCCTTTGCGATTGCTGTGAGTACAAGCTTGCTCTTCGCACTGCTATTCCACTATCCATTATTCCCTACTACAACCTCAACATATGCCCTGTTATATAATGTACAAGTTTCCATTTGCTTTTCCATCATCCCTGTATACTGTGTTCTTGCGTGTTCGTTGAAGCTTGCCGGGTGTCCCCCGTCAAGACCGAGATGCAGCGGGAGCCTCCTGGCGCATAATCCCTGACATCTTGCATGACTAATATTGGGGTTGTAGAGGGATTCTGGGGGATATGTAAGGATAGCGGAAAATGAAATGGAAACTACTATAGTAATGTTGGGGTTATACCCAACACAGAACCTAAATCCAAACCCCGGCACTATATACCCTAAACCCATATACTCCCTCATAAACCTAAATCCGAAAAAAGGTGCCCTAAATCCCTCGTACTAAACCCCAATGCCTGTCCTCCGTACTTTGCTTTCAGCTCGGCTTCCTCCACGGGTCAGAAGATTTTACGGAACATTGCGATAGTTTGGGGGGTGCATTCAGGGCACCCCTAATGTTTGCAGATGGCCAGACAATGTAAAGACCATGGACATGGGCCGGCAGAGGGAGCTACCCAGATATCCTCGTCATTCCTGGCCACTTTCATCAAATGCGGAAGAGAACTACGAGAATATCAAGTTGCTGCGAGGATGCGGTTCCTCCATGTTTGCAAGAAGATGGGCTCCACAGTAATGAGATGTATCTGGATAGTACCCAAATCCGGAGGTAGTAAGTTCACTCACATTTGCTCGTCACAAATGCAGGCATGCACCCACGCCTTCTTGGCGATGAGGGTTTTCAGGCTTGGAAAATTCTCCAACATGTAGACATCCTGAAGCACACCGGTGAAAGCACATGACTCAGGGCCTCATTCATGCAGCGCTCTTCTCACGCTGCGAGTATCTACGCGACATAGACCAGCAAATGCTACTTTTAGGGTCCCCCCAGAAAGGCGCCCCTAATTTTCGGAAACCTGCACCTTATCATCAAACACCTTCTCCTGCCCTAAACCCTCAATCTTACACCCTAAGCCTAAGCCCCAAAACCTAAATCCTAAACCCTATAGATCCTAAGCCCAAACTCATAATGCAAGAGTCCGTGATCTGGAGTACGCGCAGGGCGCAGGCGGAATCAGGCTCCGCGGAAGGTTCTTTGGCAAGGGCCGGCTCAGTGGGGTTACCTGGAACCACAGGGAACGACATGAGCTCACATATCTTGGGGTTATATAGGGAGAATGGAAACGAAAATGGAAACTACAGGAATTATTAGAGGTTATATTATAGGGATAATGGAAAAGAAAATGGAAACTACGGGGATATAGTAGCTACTCCTAGTATCCCCCGTAATAGCCCCTAGTAGAGGGCTTAGGGCTTAGGGTTCAGGGTTTCGGCGTAGTATCCCGCTTAAGAAGCCCTAAAACACCCCTTGAAGGCTCCTAGTATAGGGTCACATGACAACTTCAACAGATGAGGTGGTATACGCACCCACCATGGGGATGATGCTGATAGGACCCAGAAAAATGTAGGTAGGAACTACTCAAGACGCCTTGACTACGGTGACTACGGAGGCTCCATATGCAAAGTGGCACTGTAGCGAGCCCTCACCAACCTCATCTTCAATCATCACCTGTAAGGTGCCAACATACCTGAACCCCAAACCCCAAACCCAAGTAAGACGTGATCTGATATGTCTCCCAGCGCACAGATATTCCCCATTGAGGACGCCCGAAGAAAAGTTGCCAAAATGTACGGGGACACTCAAAAATGGTATCCCTAATCTTGGGAAATCCTAAGCCCTTAACCCTATATCCCCCTACATAACCCTATATGATCCTATATAACCCTAGATAACTCTATATAACCCCTAAAACCCCTGGGGGTGTTTGAGAAACCCTAAAAATCCGAGGCTGGCGCCTTTAAAGATGATATCCAGGAAAGCCTCCGAGTCGAGTGTTTGGCCATCTAGCTGCAGGAGTGCTGACACCTGGCATATGGTAGGGGGATACATTCTGTAGGCTTTAGGGTTTAGGGTTTGGTAGGGGGGGATATGGGGGGTTCTATAGGGATAATGGAGAAGAACATGGAAACTATATGGATTATCTAGGGTTTATATATAGATTATCGGGTATATGTTGGGGTTATATAGGTAAAATGGAAAAGAACATGGAAACTACTCTTTAGGGTGTAGAGGAGCTGGAGCCAAGAATGCAGCTCTTAGGCAGAACTCATCATGACAGTGCTAGTCATCAGCAGAGGTTCAAACAGGTGATGATGGATCGTTCTGGTAGCAACATTTATCTACCACTTAGGTTGGGCCCCCACCTACCAATTGTAACCATTCGGGGATAATGGAGAATATATTCCTATAGTACCAATGTTACTGGGTGAGGGCCGAAAACAATCTACGAGTATTAACCGACCTGAAATGCAAGCAGTTCAGCTCTCCCTGACCTCGTCCGGGTGACCTCCGAGCTCGCGCAGGACCTGGCGAGGAAACGCTTCCTTGCTCTTTGCAGCAGGCCGCCCAACGTCTGCACTGCAGGTAATTCTGCCATGTTGTGATGAGTTTCAGGCGATTGTGTTCCACTAATATCCTCTCATGTCCATGTGCCTACACGTAGACGTTGCACGCCTTTTCACCCTGAGGTATCTAGGAGTCTGAAGATGTTGCATCCTGTCCTGCTGGGAATGGAACCTCATGCAGACAGGTCCAAAAGGCATAATTGGCTGGATCTAAAACTGTAAGGGCAAGGATCTTCTGTCCTCAACTAGGATGAACTCAAAATTGGTCTAAGCATACCTGCAAGATCCTGCAAGCTTCCAAGTGGCACCAACGGCCACAAACCTGTACACTTCGATCTTCATCGGGTTCCTTCGCTTATGGAAGAAGGGCCTTGGAAGATTCGCAGGAAGGAGTCCGCATGGCCCCAGTGCAGCACTCGCTCTTAGCGTCTTCACGGCACAGTTGGCACTGCTCACCACCACAGCCGCGGCACTTGCTATCAAAGCAATTGGTAACAGCTTCCTCCTTGGAGTCTTTGCACATCTGCGGCGGATCAACGGAGTGGTAGTGCTCGTCACAGCAGTTGGCGATCCTCTGAACATCTTGGTTGCACAGCGTGCACTGCTCGCCACTGCAGCCCTTGCAGGCCTCCGCCACGCAGCTTTTGGCATCTTGCTCCCAGGCGCATTGGAGGCCTTCAGCCCCGTACAAGCCATCGCAAGGATCCTTGGGTTCCAGGTCTTCCTTGGCATCCTTGCACATCTGCGGCGGATCCACCGAGTGCCAGTGTTCTGTGCAGCAGGTGTCGATCCTCTGCGCGTCTTCGCGGCAAAGTTGGCATTGCTCACCGCCACAGCCGCGGCAGCTGGTCTCCAGGCAGGTCTTCACGTCCTCCTCCCAGGCGCATCGGAGGCCTTCAGCCCCGTACAAACCGGCGCAAGGAGTTGTGGGCTGGGCCTTGCAGGTGTCGATCTGCGAAGTTACGGATTCCAGTCCCTGCTCGGAGCAGCAGGTTTCAATGTGGCTGGCATCCTCGCGACACAGCTGACACTGCTCGCCACCACAACCACGGCAGAGGCTGTCCATACAGGATGACACGCAAGCAGACACGGTGTTGACGTCTTCGCGGCAAAGCTGACATTGCTCTCCGCCGCACCCGCGGCACTTGCTTTCAATGCAATCCTTCAAGGACTCAGCCGAAGCCAATGCCAGCACCAAGCTGAGCACAAGAGCACGAGCCATGGCAATGAACAGGCTGATGGAATCTCCACACAGAGCAAAGCTGCTGGCTACGAAAATCCTGAGCCAAGGATAGCCGCACGAATCATCGGATCTCAGATGCAACTGAAATTCAGCGTCCACGGGTGCTTGCACTTTCCTGGGAGGCAATGCGCACCGCTACCGCCGGGGACGACACGGCTGTTAATGATTGCGGTGATGATGATGATGATGATGATGATGATTCTGATGATGACGGTGCTATTGAAGAGGAGGAAAAAGAGACGGCATCAGCGTATTCAGATGGGCGTGGGACCAAGCTTGTCATCTCCTCGCCTGCGCCCATTCCTTGGCGCGGAAGCCGCTGGTATCAGCTGCGTTGAGGACCTCTCCACATGTCTGCGTAGTGTCTTCTGATGCTGCTGCCGAAGGTGCTGCAATCTACACAGGTGCTTCTCAAATCCACATGCCACCATGCAAAGAGGTCTTCTAACCAACAAAGAAAAAAGTTCTAAGCTCTGAGCTGCCCTTACTTCCCCTGTCAGCATGAAGATGACTCAACAACCCAGTGAGACCAGCTGACCTGTTTCACCTTCGCCCGCGCGTCCATCAGGCCATCAACTCTCCATCCCAGCAGCTTTCTCCACGCAGCTCGGCTCTAAGGGCCATGGCTGGTCAAGACGTCGTGAAGTGCAGCTTGGACAGTACGTCCCCCGTCTTATATGGGATAATGGAAAATACAATGGAAGCTACTATAGTGCTATAATGCTATAATATATATATATATATACCATGCGCAAATCTCAACCCAAACCGGATGCTTGGAACTGGTCCACCTGTAGCTTGGTAGGGATCCCGGTATCCCCTCAAAAGAATTAGGCCCTCATCATACCTACACACCTGTGAGGCCCAGATTTGTCGAGGCATCTCATCCAACCTTGGGGCTCGCATGGACTGGCCCTGAATGCAGCGTCATATCGGAGGTTCAGCTTCAGAAAACGAGGCTTTTGGGAACGATGGAGAGGCCATTTTAAAAGTAGGGCCAGTATCCTACAATCTGGCGGCTCTTACTGCAACTGCTATACTGCCAGCGCATGCCGACTGCTGTAGTGATAGTACCACGAGGACCCCTCGAAAGGGGGAGTGAGGCTGGATGGGGGGCGTGCAAAGTAGGTGCCGATACCTGTCCCTGCGTGTCCCCCAGTACATTGTCCAGGGGGCCTTATCTGCAACTACAAAGTCAGGGTAGTAAAGCAGTAAGATTCCCTGCGGTAGTAATAATTCAAAAGGCCTGGTGCTGGCTGAGTGCAAGCTCACAGCGCAGTGTCTGCGCAAGTCCTGAATGTCTTCGAACAGAACGCGAGCATCTTCTATGTCGGCGTCTCCTTCAGAGAAGTTCTTTTCCATCCATTTGGCTTCAGACGCAGCGAAGCTCATCGGCATGGGATGCTGGCAATGGAAGAGTACCAATAGTAATAGCAGTAATAGTAACAGTAAAGATACCAATAAGAATACCAATAATAGAACATGTAATACTAGTAGTACTAGTAATCGTAATAAAAGTAAGCGTTTGGTATTCCATCTTTGGCGCACCATTTTTCTGAAATCTTAGCAGCGGCCATTCTCAACCAAAAGGTCAGGATGCAGCCTTCTTTTAAGGTTTAGGATTTAGGCGTTTAGGGCTTAGGGTTTGGGGTTTAGAGGTTAAGGGCTTAGGGTTTAGGGGCTTAGGGTTTGGGGGTTCAGGCTTCAGGGTTGGAACTTAGGGTTTAGGGTTTCTGCTTTCTTCAGGTGGCGAGCCAGCAGCTGCGCGCGCCGTCAGCCGGCCTGCCATAGGCTGCATGTGGACTCGCAGGATGATTATTACTGTTACTATCACCATTTCTATTACTATTTCTGCTACTATTCTTACTATTACTATTACTCTTACTACTGTTATATGGTAGTTTCCCTAAATAGGGGGACCCCAATATAGACACCAAAATACTATAATCCTTATTTTGGGGACCTCCAAAACGGTACCTCTAATTTTGGGAAACTACCATATGTGGACTTGAAAGAATTCAAGCGCCATCTGGGCCTCGAAGACTTTGATTTCGTACGCTGGCTGGGGTTCGCCGTCCTCGCTCTCCCCACCCTAAACCCTAAACCCTGAATAGTATTTTCCACTTTCTTTTCCATCATCCCTATATAACCCCGATACACTATAGTAGTTTCCATCTTCTTTTCCATTATCCCTATAGAACCCAAATTCACTATACTAGTTTCGTTTTCTTTTCCATTATCCCTTTATAACCCCAATACACTATAGTAGTTTCCACTATCTTTTCCATTATCCCTAGAGAACCCTGCAGGTCTCTTGAAAATCCTAAACCTCCCTTGGATCGCTTCAGGCGCGGGCAGACGTTGGAGAGTCGGACTCCTGCACAGCAGCTGGCCATTGCTTAGACAATTTCTGGGGGATTGTCCAAATTATGGTCCCTTTTTGGGTACCCTAAATATTAGGGGCCGTATTATAATCTCTTCCTCATATTAATAAACCCCCCCTAATAATA